TCATTGATAGATTGACCCATATAGCATATTCATCTCTTTATTGACTAATCAGTACTCTATTATCTTTCTAATGATATCACTGATAGATTGACTCATCTTGCATATTCATCTCTACAATGACAAATTTGTGCTATATCGTCTTTCTAATGATAAATTTATCATTGATAGATTGACCCATCCAGCATATTCATCTCTACAACTACAAATTAGTGATAAATTCATCATTGTATAAATATGAAAATTCACCAACAGTATACAACATATTCAACAAACCAATGCTAAATTTATTATTGATAGATTGACAATATTGCATATTCACCTTTCTCCAGTAACAAAAATGCTAAATTTGTCACTGTTTAAAAATCATCATAAATAAGTTTCGCCCCAAAATAAATAACATAACTTACAAACTCACAAAAATGACGTAACTTTCATAAAATAACAGTGATAAACTAATTAAACAACAACGAACACGAGTGTTGCTGACAATGATGAAGGAGGACAGTGGTTGACGCAAGTAATGTTGACGACGACGAAGGAGAATGATGTTCGATGGTGATGGAAACAAAAGAGGATGATAGTGGTGTGAGGCAAGCGACAACGATGGCGAGGGAGGAAGATAACAACAGAGTGTAGATCTGCAATGGTGGAGTGCACATCTGCGATTAGGGGTATGCGCGGTGCGGGTCGGTGCGGTTTGAGAGAAAAATAGAAATCGTATGGCGGGTGGCGAATTGATAAAAGTGTCACTAGAATTTTCCATTTTCCTTATCAAAAACCGACGGTTCGGTTGGCAAATAATGGCGGATTTGCCTTGGCAGTTCGGGCGGATTGGCGGGTTATAAAAAATATAATTCAAATTACAAAACTTAAATCAAAGAGTAAAAAAAAGACGAGAGATATCGTGATGTTAAGCATCTTGCGAAGCTTTCTTCTGATGCAACAAGTGTAGTAACAACATGATAATATCAACGACTATGCCATCAGTTCATTACAAGCATCTGTGGAAGCTACAATGATCAAATACAATACATAAAATTAATATCATTCAGGGTTTACAATATATTGAAAATGTTTACTGTTGAAAAGTATTTAGATTGAAAAGTGAGCTGATGCAAGTTTGCAACATGGCCAGAAAAAAAAAAAAAAAAAAAAAAAAAAAAAGATTGAAAAGTGAATTGGAATCCAACTTTATTTTAGATTACTGACATCTTGAATTCCCCTCGAGCAGTAATGTAATACTATATTCTAAGGTATAGAATAACAAGCAAACTTAAGTAAAAAAGAATTTTTACAATCTTATAAAACATGATTTAATAGCGGTGCGGGTCAGTGCTGTTTGGAAGAAAAATAGAAACCGGCAGATTGATAAAAGTGTTACTAGAATTTGCCATTTTTCTTACCAAAAACAGGCGGTTCGATTGGCAAATAATAAAGAATTTGCCTTGGCGGTGCGGCTCGGTGCGGTTTTGGCGGTTTCGGCGGTATTATGCACACCTCTATCTGCGATGGTGGAGGTGGATCTGAGATGGTAGAGGTGGTGTATACATCGGCGGCGGTGATAGTTGATGAACAATGGCGGCGGGTGAATGACGACGGTGGTAGTGGTGGACAACGATGGTAGTGGTAGTGGTAGATCACGATGGTAGTGGTGGTGGTAGACAGTGACAGTGCCGATGGCTAGCTAGTGGTTATGTGAAGTTTCTAGAAACATGGTAAGAGAGAGAAAAAAGAGAGATGTGAAAATGAAATATGAAAATATTTGATATATAAATATTTAACGATGACAATATGAGTAATGGAGAATTTATTAGTGCATTTAATTAGTCAAAGTGACTTAAGTAGGACTGGTCGATAATAACACCTATTAAAAGAACATTATTCGGATTAAGTCAATTGTCCAAAGGCCCATAAAACTTTTTCTTTAAGGCCCAAATCATATAAAGATCTTGAGAAAAAATGCCCTGGGGCCTAAAAATTATCTTATTCGGTTAACTCCCAAATTTTATTTACAATAATAAAAAATCAAATAAAAAGTTTACACAGAAAAAAATCTAAAAATTATATAAAAATTATTTAAATATAAATTGTCAAATTTCTCTATCATCATGTCCCAATGCATACTTAACTACTAGTCGAGGTGCGCATAAGATGACTTGAACACTCAATCATAAAAAAAACAATTAAATTGTGCCAGAATATTAAAAGGGTTTGGCTTCTCTCGAGCGTTTGAACTTGGCAAGCCCATTTTGAGACCGATTTTGATCATAACTGTTCATTTTTTTGGACTCATTGAATAAAATATACATACAAAAAAACAAAATGATTGAACATCGGTAACTATATGTTTGAATCATATTTGTTTTAAATAAATAGACAATAAATATAATTTTAAGAATAGACATCCATTTTTTATAATACAAATTTTATTTAAAAATATAACTACCGACATCTGATCATCTTAATTTTCATATAAATATTATTTTGCGAGTTTTAAAAAATAAGTAGTTTAAATTATCGATATCGGTTCAAAAATAAACCTACTAAGTTCATATTAAAGTACTTAAATTTTGATGCCTAATCTAATGAATGAGAGGAGAACATAATTTTAAGAGCAAATTACCAACATCCCTATCGAGATTTGACTAAAATATAGATTTTTCTCTGACATTTGAAAAATTACATCTTGCCCCCTGAGATTTATATTTACATAACAAATTACCCCTTCATTTGTCATATAAATATAAATCCTAGAAGGTAATTTGTAATTTTTTAAATATCAAGAAAAAATTTATATTTTAGTCAAATCTCAAAAAGATGTTGATAATTTACCCTAATTTTAAAAACAAAAATTTCTATACTTAAAAAGAGTTTCAATAGAGATTTGGCTTTAAGCTCCATTAAGAATTGAGCTGACCTAATTATAACTTGACCCCACAACTAGTTTTGTTTTTGAGATATTTTGAAAAATACTCACTACAAGATTGCGCATTAGAAATCCTATGAAATCTTTCCAAGGTGATTGGATCTTCAATGCACTTTATTATTGATTTTCTCTTGACAGGTATATAGCCCTTGAAAGAACTCAAAGGTTGCAATTAGGTTTAAAATATGAAAGAAAAAGAGAGGTTAGGGGTTGTACTTCCCCACTTCCAGCATGTACTTTCCCACTCACCACCGCCATACAATACATACACCACTGTTTATATGGATGGTTCCAATAAGACTTGCCTTTATTTCTAGGGCTACACAAATCCTACTTGACTGCCAGAGACCTATGTAACTTTTTGCACTTCCTGTAGCATGATCATTGGCCACCAATGTACAAAAGAATATTGCTGATAAAATTTAAAATATAAAATAAAATGTAAAAAGAATATTCCTTTGCGGTTAGAAGTAAAGAACCATAAAGATGGTCTCCCCAGCTTGTGGGAGTTAAATTAATTGGGTGTTTTTATATACCACAAAATTTAAATCAGTGCAAGTTCTAGACAAAAGTGGACCCAAGTTTCCTTAGCATCTCCACTCCACTTTGATTCCCTTGTGATATATAATATGTTTTCATTTTTTTTTTTCCTTTTCACAAATTGTTGAGTTTTTTTATTTTTTATTTTTTTTATTTTTTATTTTTAAAGGCTTCACCCCGACTAATTAGGCACATGGGTAGTTTAATCGTGGGATGGTTTCAAAAGCAAATGATGAATGAAACTTAAGTTATTCGGTTCACCTCGAAATTTTTTAAACCCAAGACTTTTCATATAAAAGATATGTGAATAACTTTACTTTATTGTTGATTTAGAAGCAAACCCATGCTTGAACTTGTTTTTTTGATCGGCAAAACAAATAAGGTTCATTGATGCAAAATATAGTACAAAGGCCCTGTTTGGTAGGACTTATTTCCAGTTTATTTAAGCTTTTAGCTTAATTTAAGTTATTTTGATGTGTTTGGTTCAGCTTAACAATATAACTTATAACTTTTTGTAAGTCAAAAATCAACTTATTCTTTGAGTGGGGCAGGAGAAGCTTAATTTATAAGTTAAAAATCAGCTTATGTTCACAGCTATAAGCTATAAGCTGTTAAGTTATAAGTTATAATTACTTTCTCACAGCTCTACCAAACGGGGCCAAAGTACAAGACAAAATACATCAATAAAGAAAGGCAGATGCAAAAGCATCACAATGAGCTGAATCATCCCAACTAGGTTGGCACAAAAAAGCCTATCCTATCATTTGCTAGCACCTCCATAGTTAGTGAGCAACCAACTAAAGAAACAAAAAAAAAGAACACAAAAAACAACATAACATAGTGCAGATTCATCTCCCCAAACACTAGTACAGCAGAACTAACACCCATTAGTACAGCAGTGCACATTCAAAATCAGAAAAACAAACAAGGCCTCAGTCCAAAACTAACACCCATTGCAACAACTAATGCCCCAGTCCAGAAGTAACACCCATTGCAACAATTCAAATGCTGCTGCAAAACCAGATTCAACTCATAGAGATAGAACAAACAGATCATACACACCAGACAGTAGAGCATAATGCAGATTCACTCCCCCCAAACATTAGTACATCAGTGTAGAACTAACACCCACTAGTGCAACAACTCAACAACAGGTTCAGATCATACATAACAGATAGAACAAACATAACAGATCATACACACCAACTACACCAGATCACCAACAGAGCATAGTGCAGATTCACCCCCTCCAAACATTAGTGCAATTCAAAAACAGCCACCAACAACAGGTTCAGCTCATAGAGAAAATTTCAGAAACAAGACAGATATAACAAATAGAACAAACATGCCTTACACAAGCTCATGCACCATTTTTATTGCACAACAATTAGGCCCATCAGCTACACAACAAATAATCCCAACAACAAATAAGCCCATAGCTAGGCAGCAAATAACCAAACACCCAGCAGCAGCCAACACACCAACAACAACCTACTCTGTTCCACCCAGCAGGTAATCAGAAAAAATTTACAAATCAAGCAACAACAGGTTGCTGCTGCATAACCAGATTATGCCCCAAACTAGTGAGCAACCAACAGCACACAGAAAAAATTTCAGAAACAGGACATATATAACAAATAGAACAAACATGCCTTACACAAGCTCATGCACCATTTTTGTTGCACAACAATTAGGCCCATCAGCTGCACAACAAATAAGCCCATAGCTAGGCAGCCAATAACCAAACACCTAGCAGCAGCCAACACACCAACAGCAGCCTACTCTATTCCACCCAGTAGGTAATCAGAAAAAATTTACAGATCAAGCAACAACAGGTGGTTAGCTCAGCACCCATTCTTAATACAGTATTGAACCTGAGGCAAATTGAAGACTATATCATTGATAGAGAACTCCAATTTAGTTAGGAAAGATTGGGCCCACAAAGCAATTCGAGCTTTGACAACCTCACATAGTTCCTCAAAGTTTGGCTGGGAACCATTAAAAACACAATCATTTCTATGCTTCCATGTGGACCACAAAACAGCCAAAGGCACAACCATCCATAGCAGCTTCTCAGTCTTTTTCATTTTGTAAAATGACCACCATTGTAGCAACCCTTCCACTAAGTTTGGCATAACCCGCTGAAAACCCCACCATTTCATAATTTTCGACCATAGCAGCCAAACAAATGGACAGGAGAGCAAGATATGATTAACAGGTTCTTTCTCATTTTGACAGAAGACACAGCCCACATTGGCAAATGCAGCTAATATCCCGATTCTCCGTAAGAAGCTAGAGGTTTTCACCTTGCCTTGCCAAGTCAACCACCCGAAAAATTTGACTTTAGGAGGGGCACAATTATTCCAAACTACCATTGCCGTACTCCTAATAGGACCCAAGGAGTATTCATAATTTTTATACACTAATGCAACATAAAACAAACCAGATGGTTCAACCTTCTACTTCCAAGCATCTTGTTTGATGACCCTCATTCGTGGAGCATTCATAAGGAGGGAATGAAGTTTCCTAACCTCCTCCTCTTCCCAGGCCAGTAGAGCTCTCCTAAATTCCAAATTCCAGACCTGAGACCCTTCACTCCTGATATAAAAATTGGACACTACTCCTATTTTATCATTGGACAGCGAAAAAAGTCTGGGGAACTCCTCCTTAAAGCTTACCTCCCCAGCCCATTTATCCAGCCAGAAAAAAGCTCTCGTACCATTCCCTAACTCAATGACTGAGTTTGCCAGGTAAAGATTATGAAACATAGGAGTATATATAATTGCACCAATGATATCAGACCAAATTTTTGAGTTTCTGTTGTTTCCTTCCATACATGGCAGCCATCTTCCACCCCCCATATTATACTTAGAGCATAGAACATCCTTTCACAAAGTATGATGCTCTGACCCAAACCTCCACCACCATTTCAGCAATAAGCACTTATTCATAACTGTGATACTTTTGATCCCTAAACCTCCCAAATGTTTACTCTTGGTAATGGTATTCCATCTAACAATGTGAACTTTCCTTCTGAGGTCTGATCCCCCCCTAAAGAAAGTTTGCTTGAATCTTCTCAATTGCTTTTGCCACCCCCACAGGTATTGTGAACAAAGACAAGTAATAGATAGGCAAGTTACACACGACGGACTTAATTAGTGCCAGCCTCCCAGCAAACGAAAACAGCCTTCTCTTCTATGTAGATAACTTTTGTTTAAACTTGTCCAAGACTGGCTTCCAAGTGCTTAACCTTCCATGATTAGCACCTAGAGGTAGACCTAGGTGCTTAAAAGGGAACCTCTGATGGGCACAATTTAGTCTAGAGGCAAAACTCTGCAGCAACACTTCATCCACTCCAATGCCCGCAATCACACTCTTATGGTAGTTAATTTTCAGCCCCGATAGGACCTCAAAACATCCCAAAATGCATTTGATGGTCACCACTTCCACCCACTCGGCTTCACAAAACAGTATTGTATTATCTGCAAATTGTAGATGCGTTACTGTGCTTTCATTAGTCCCAATGGCAGCTCCTTTTATCAAACCCATTTCCTTGGCCCTAGCAAACAAGATACTCAACCCCTTGGCCACAATATTGAAGAGGAAATGGGATAATTGGTCACCTTGCCGATGACCTCTCTGTGGGCAAAATTCCTCAGTAGGTGAACCATTCACTAAAACTGACACCTTTGTGGAGGTTACACAACTTTTCATCTATCTCACCCATCTATCGCCAAAACCAAAATTAGATAGCATATTAAATAAGAATTCCCAGTTGACTGAATCATATGCCTTTTCAAAATCTAATTTCAACACCAAACCTTTCTTGTTTGATTTTCTCCACCCATCAACTATCTCATTAGCAATGAGAATCTCATCTAGGATATTCCTTCCCCTAAGAAATGCGGATTGAGTCTCACTAATAATCCTTGGCATCACTTGTTTCATCCTATCGGCTAAGACTTTAGCCAAAAATTTGTACATGGATCCAATGAGGCTTACTGGCCTATAATCCCTCAAGCTTGAAGGGCTGTCAACTTTTGGGATTAGAGCTATAAAAGAGCTATTTAAACCGCTCACTAAAGAGGCATTTTGATGAAATTCTCTTAAAAATTGCATTACCTCAGGTTTGACTACTCCCCAACATTTCTTATAAAAGGCCAAATTAAATCCATCAGGTCCAGGTGTTTTATTGCCATCACTGTTCTTGATAACATATCTGACTTCCTCTTCAGTAAAATCTGCTTCCAACAGCTCCGCTGCTTGACGACCTCCAATATTTTTGAACTGGCCAGACAGTGAAGGTCTAGTAGCCCAAGATTCGGAGAAAAGATTCATGAAGGAAGACTTCACCTCCAGCCGAACTGCTATATGTTCTTCCACCAATGAGCCATTCACCATAACTGAACACAAAGAATTTCTGTTATTTCTATTAGAAGCCATAATGTGAAAATACATTGTATTCCTATCTCCTTTTGATGCCCAATTAATTCTGGACTTTTGTAACCAAGTCCATTCTACCATTTTGTTTAACCTCCAAATTTCACTCATAATTTCCTTCCATCTAGCTTGTTCAGTCCCCAGAAGTGTTCTTTCTTCGGCAATTAGCTCTATGGTATGGGCTTTCTCTTCTGCAGCCTTAAGCCTAGATTCAAGCATACCAAACTCTTCAATATTCCACACTTTTAATTTGAGTTTTAAGGCTTTCAATTTCATGAAACATCTATACCCGGCCCAACCTTCAACCTGGAAATCTGACCAAAATTTGTCCACAAAACCTGCAAACTTGGGATGAAGGGTCCAAGCGTTCAGAAACCTAAAAGGACGAGGACCCCATGTTTGAACTTGTAATGTTTCAATTCAGTCCATCTTCTATGTTGGAAAGTTTTAAATACACAATCGAGACTTATACCTTCCAATACAAACTCTTTTAATGTAAGTGTAGGGAGAATTATGTGTATTCACCTCAATGCATGTTGGTACACATTGTTTTCCAAGTCCATCTTCTATGTTGAAAAGTTTAAAATACACAATTGAGACTTATACCTTCCAATAGAAACTCTTGCAATGTAAGTGTAGATTTGTGTATTCACATCCATGCATGTTTGTACACATTATTTTCCATCCCTAGCTAGAGTTAAATACATTCTATTTGTTATTTTGTTTTTTTTTTTTTTACCATATGTGTAACCGTCGAAATCATGCGTACATGTGTGGTTTGGATCATAGAGCGGAATTGGCTTATATGCATGAAGGAGTATATATATATGAATTTAAAAAAATGAAAAAAAAAACCTTGGACATATGATTCGATATTCCTATGTGGTCATAAAAACAATTTTCTAGTATGTGAATTTTCAAGATGAAACTAAGGTCTCGTTTGGGGACTAACTATTTTAGCCAAAAAATTAAAAAGTCACTATAAATTGTCATATCACACTCTCTACTTTTTTCACATCTTTTATATAAAAATTCAAAAAAATTACTAAAATAATACATTCTCAAACGAGGCCTAAATGGCCAAAATTACTAAATCATCCTAATCCCATACCATGTAAACCTATACTTAGAGATATAATTTTTTATAGGTTTTGTTGTATAAACTGGCATTTGCTTTCTAGCCAGAGTGTTTGTAGCTCTGAAGTATTTGGTAGATTTGATTTTAAGATCTCATTCGAGATAAGCTAAAATAACTTAATTTGGGCTAAAATAGTCAATAAAAGAAAATATTCAATCATATCACATACTCTATCTATTTTTTTACATGTCTTTTAATAAAAATTCAAAAAGTTAATTAAAATAGTCAATTCCTAAATGGAGAGCCAAACAATCTTGCTAATTACACATAGTATAGGGCAAAATGTCTCCATGCATGTGACTAGGCTCTCTCTCGTAAGTGGACATACATATTCTATTGTCTTCTCTGATACTATGATAAGTTGTTGACCACCTCGAAACTTAGATTGTTAGAAAGATGAAAAATTAATTATTTATATCCTCAATACAATCTTGATTAAAAAAGCAATGCAAATCCATAACACATTAAGAAAGAGAGAGTTCACATTCTACTAAGTAAAACAAATTACAACTTCAAATTACAGATTTCACTCCATTGTGAACCATCTAAACTAGAAGTGGAATATTACATACACAAACTCCAATCTTACATAAAAATGAAACACAAGTCTATAACCCAATGATTGCGTAGTGCAATGAAGAAAATCCAAAAAATGAAATTTTGCATTGTAATAGTGCCTTAATAGTTATCAGAATGACCAACACCAGGACTATGACCTGGTGTTGTGGGTCGAAAAGAATCCACATTTCCTTGATCCATAGTTCTAAAACCAGATGGTTGCAGCTGACTAGGGCTTGCAATCTCATTACTTTTGTCTTTAACGCTCATTTTGACATTAGGGTTCAAGCGTTTTGCACACTTCACATTCTTTCGCAACTCCAAATTCCTTCCTTCAATACAAGTCATTTCGCAAAACAAGAATACTAGAAGAAAAAACATTGAAGTAATCAACTTGGCCATGGCTAAGTAGATTAGATGATCTCAAGCTCAAAGATAAAAGAATCAAATGAGAATGGTTTGGACAGGAAGAAAGGAACTTGGTCTGTCCACAGTGACTCTCTTGGTATTTAAGGAGTAAAAAAGGAGAAGCATGTGAGTCCCAAACATCAAGGAAGATTCCATATGGTGAGCTACAAGCCTGACATAAATGTTAGGGGCTTTCATTCCATTGCTTTGGAAGAATTTCTAGGGTTAGAACAATATCATAAGTTTTCTTTTTTTCTTTTTAAAATTTTCTTTTTTATGTGGTAAGTAAGTGCTTCATAATATCATGCATGTCTATGTATGCTTGCCTTTGTAATTAAGAATATCATTCTCTGTTTATATGCTTGCCTTTGTGAATATCATGCATGTTACATTCAACTTCATTTCTCTAACTGTCCTTAGCAATAGAGTTAGTTTTCTTGGGGTTCTAAGAGTATTTTTATGATATATCTACTATTACATTAAAAGTGTGAAAATCCTGTCATATTTTTTTTTTTTTTTAAATTTTAATTTTACTCTCTCAAATTTATTATGTTTTGTAAAAGTTATGAAGAGTCTTATATAAATTAACTATCTCTTTATTTTTGGAGTTGAACACTAAAAAACGATATATCTACTTTCAATAGTCTATATAAATATAAACAACCGTCTCTCTTCTTATTAAAATAAAAATAAAAATAACCATTTTCCTATTATTTATGTGTCTGTTTCCATATAAATACACATAATATTTACAATTGTCCATTATGGATCAAGTACTTATGAATAATTTTAATTGAATCTTAAAATTGTATGCATCCGTTCAAATCTAAA